CAGCTAATCAGGCCCGCCGGAATCGGTCCGGTTTGTCAGGGTATCACAGGACCAACTCGTTGGCCATCAACACACGGTCACTGCTAGGGATGGTACATTAATATGTATGTTAACCCGCTACGTCATACACAAAGTACTTTTTCACAATGATCACAGCTCACTGGCAAAGACAAAAAATTGCATAGTGGGAGCATAGTGATGGTGAGGCGTTTTGCCCTCAGCTGACCTGAAGTCTCGACGTCATGGGGACAGAAAACGCACCAAAAAGAAAGAAGAAGACACAAGGAATTAAAAAGGTTATGGTATGGCAGGAGCAATCAGATAATGCTTCACGTGGTCCTGCGCTTAGGGAATGTACAGTGGAGCTGTCGCAAACCTTAGACTGTTACAACCCAATGGTAAAGTTTTCGAGCTGGTCATCTACTACAGCCGCATATTTCTTGGTGAACATCTCTCGATAAAGGACACGTCGTCTACATCAGCTGCCAGGTCGACGACTTCGTGCATTCTCCAAATATTCTCAATTCAATTGTACAGCATTCTGCATATCTGGCACCCAGTCTTAGTCAGGCACGGGTTTTTCAGGAAGGTCTCCAAAGACAGGTCATGTGAGTCACCACTGCAGGTGAGCAAGTAAGCTGGCTGCTTGCAATGTTATGCCTGGCCCACACTACTCTAGGCCACGTTTTCGGCCGATGCTCCCACACCGACTCTGACATCTATCAACCCTTTCAAGGCGACGGGCAGTGACCAATTCCGAGTATCATCCTGCAAAAGTGAGTGTTATCTAGCCATTGACCCCACACTTACACGCATCATCAATACATCCATGTCCTCCGGTTAATTTCCCATGTCCTTCAAGTTTTCCCACGTCAGTCCGCTTTTCAAGAGCGGAGACACACCTTTCCCGAAGAACTACTGCCCTGTGTCACTGCTTCCAGGTATCTCCCGCATTACAGAAGCCTTTTGTGAAAAATAGGATCACGCAGGACTTGGAATCCAAGCAACTTCTTCCTCCTACTCAGTTTGCGTACCGAAAGCTTCACTCTACAGAAGATGCCTTAACCTATGCTGTTGATCGATGGCAAATGGCACGGGCGGAGGGCAAATATACCGGTATCGTGTTTGTCGATACATGTATGTCAAAGGCCTTTGACCGCGTTGGACATGAGCGACTAGTAATTTGTTACTAGGCTGAACTGGTCAAGCTAGGCATCTCGGGAACGGCACTCAACTGGTTCTGCAGTTACTTGTCTGGACGTACACAGCAGATCAAATTGCAGGATCAGTTGTCAGGCATTGTCTCTTGCGCTCGCGGTGTTCCGCAGGGTAGTGTCCTAGGCCATCTCCTCTTTGTAATTTACACTGCTGATGTCAAGTCAGTTGTGCCTCCGGATGTGGCAAATAAAGAATTCTCTGATGACATTGCTCTCGACTGCTCCAACAAGTGTCCCAAGAAAGTCTACAAGTCTCTGTCGTCTGTAGTGACTAACCTCGCCAAGTGGCTAGATGACATCGGCCTACTTCTGAATGCCCAGAAACCCAAGGTCTGTTTGTTAAGCCAAGAGACGGTGCGGATGTTCAAGAACATGGACGTTGTCGAGGACAACCCCTGGAAGCAACAACATCCGCAAAATACCTGGGTGTTGTAATCGACAATGACCTCTCCTGGCAGGCACATGTCAGTCATGTCACACGGAAGATCGGGCCAGTAATTGGACAGCTTTGGCGACACAGCAGGTACCTGAGCCTAAGGGCCCACCAAGCCTGGTATGCCAGCATGATACAGGCTCATCTGTCTTATGGCTCCAATTGTTTCTTCTCCAGTCTTTCAAAGCAGCTCCTGGATAAACTCCACCGCATGTCAAAATCCGGTGTCAGAGTGACCCTGCAGGAAAGGACTCTGGTCCCGACTGCCCCCCCCCCCCCCCTTCTCGAGCTACTGGGTGTGCCAAGTTTGCCACAGCTTCTCTTTCTTAAACTTATCATTCTCAGCTGAAGACGACACGTGATGAAGTGTAAAGCCTGTTGAGAGTTCCGTTAGTCCAATTCAGTTTGTTGCGGTCCGTACAGATGGCGATTGGCGGACATTTAAAGCTGTTGCCACGGCTCTCGACTTGCCCAGCCTTTATCCATAAAAAACATTTTTGTGTATCTAATTTCTTGTCAAAATCCATTTTAACAATCCATATATCCCCCTCCCTTTTGTGTGCCTATCTGCATCTTTGTGTCTGTGTGTGTGTCTCTCTCTCTTTCTCTCTCTCTCTCTCTCTCTCTCTCTCTCTCTCTCTCTCTCTCTCTCTCACACACACACACACACACACACACTCTTTCTCTCTCTCTCTCTCTCTCTCACTCTCTCTCGCTCTCGCTCTCTCTCTCTTGTTGTTGTTGTTGTTGTTGTTGTTGTTGTTGTTGTTGTTGTTGTTGTTGTTGTTGTTGTTGTTGTTGTTGTTGTTGTTGTTGTTGTTGTTGTTGTTGTTGTTGTTGTTGTTGTTGTTGTTGTTGTTGTTGTTGTTGTTGTTGTTGTTGTTGTTGTTGTTGTTGTTGTTGTTGTTGTTGTTGTTGTTGTTGTTGTTGTTGTTGTTGTTGTTGTTGTTGTTGTTGTTGTTGTTGTTGTTGTTGTTGTTGTTGTTGTTGTTGTTGTTGTTGTTGTTGTTGTTGTTGTTGTTGTTGTTGTTGTTGTTGTTGTTGTTGTTGTTGTTGTTGTTGTTGTTGTTGTTGTTGTTGTTGTTGTTGTTGTTGTTGTTGTTGTTGTTGTTGTTGTTGTTGTTGTTGCTCTTGTTGGTGGTGGTGGTACTGGTGATGGTGTTTTTGGATTATTGTTGTTGTTGCTGTTGTTGTCGCTGTCGTTGTTGTTGTTGCGGTTTCTGTTGGCCATTTTGTGAGATCTAGGACGATTCACTTATCTAGGCAATAAAGCAGTCTCTCTCTCTATTTCTCCTCTCTCTCTCTCTCTCTCTCTCTCTCTCTCTCTCTTCTCTCTCTCTCTCTCATCATGCATGCTTCACACTCTCATGTAATATTTCTTTCCTTTCTTCGTCTTTTTGTTTGAGCTTGGACAATCCACTTGTCCAGGCAAGAAGGCAGCAATGCGTGCGCCTGTTCACTCTGGCGATGTAAAAACATATAATTATACCGACCAACCAACCAACATGGAATCGGCTGACTCTGTCTGACTGTGTAGTTACACTGTTTATTCAAAGCTCCACATTTAAGTGAATAATAGCAAGAAGGTACAAGAGAAGAGCTAGAGAGAAAAGGGAAACCAAGGAGGCGTCCAGGTAGAAAAGGGAACGTTACTTGAAAGATTAGAACATTGAAAGGATCAGTCACGCAATACGGTTAATTCCCATCATCGATCGGATAATTATTCATCCCTACGCAAGAAATAGGTAAGTAGTTATTATTAACAAGGAAAAAATAATATTTTACCATGCATGCCTGCAAACGACGCAGTCGGACTACCAACACAAAGTGATCTTAGTTGTTTGAAACGTGTGAGACAACATCCCACCACCCCGTGTACCAGGCATGTTTCGCGCCGATATTGAGGATTTTTCGTACAATTCGATATCGACTGAAAGGTCGGTTTTGTAGTGTGGGCCAGGGAGGCCTACACATACCGTGTGTGTAGGGCTCTCTGGTGTGGGCCAAGCATTGTAGGTAGCGCCTTTCCCCCGATTTGGAATTCCATAGATCCACCACTGCCATCCACAGCAAACTAGAATGGTATCAATGTTGTTGCGACGCTCGACTACCGTAGTACAGAGCTTGGGTAAAAGCCGCTGCGGCGCTGGGGAATAGCTCGACAAACAGGGGCGTAGCCAGGATTGTGGCTGAGGGGGGTGCTCACTGGAAGTGTGGGCCTGCGCCCGAAGGCCGCGAAAATTGGGGGGGGGGTCCGGGGGCCCTCCCCCGGAAAATTTTTCGATATTGAGTGCCAAATCCTTCATTTTTGCATCTATTTCATTATTTTCCATTCCACCAATGATTCAATAAAAAGTCAGATAATCGTATGAAACGCACAGTACTTTGCTACAGAAGTTGGATGGTAAGAGATTGACAGGGTGTGGTTAGACCCAGAATATAATACAGACAATTGTTGAAATTTTTGAGGGGGGTGCTTGGGCACCCAAAGCACCCCCCCTGGCTACGCCACTGACAAAATGCATGCTGGAGTCTCTGAGCACACCTGACACTGACAGACTATCAACTCTGCGGCCAGGTGATGACAGAATGCTAGGCGCAACTCACACTTGTTTTCCTTGTTACCCTCCTCTCATGTCATTGACAATGCAGCCTTCCTAGCACCATTGCTAACCGTGGACAACAGCGAAATGAAGTCAGTAAACAGAGTGGACGGAAACGTGTTCTGCATCATAATAATAATATTATGTCACGTGTAAGATGCCTCGTTCAATTCGACCAACAATGTTGTTCCGGAACGCTACAGCCATGTGCCTCTCCTTGCCCCGAATGTGGCTGCCACGACGGAGCGATATTGCAGTCATAACCCTGGTCGGCTCGATGATCCGAAGGCGATCAGAGTACGAGAAGAAAATGAATGGCTTACCCTTTCAAACTCTCCGCATCCTAGCCAGGTATTTAGCCGACTCTCACAGCACTGATAAGAAGAAACGTTGTGCAGACTTTCCCAAAGTAACATGGTGCAATGGATAGCTTCCGTCGCTGCTACAATCACCCTCCTGGTCGTTGTCTTCGGCGCAGCGCTTGTGGCGTACGTGTGCAGGCGGAGACGTCGTGAAGACGCAGTCGGCGCACTGCGCGCTCGCCAGCTGGCGAAGAGCAGCATTGTGGTGCTACCGTCCATTGCAAAACTCAGCTCGGTGACTGCGCCGTTCGATGCAGTGCCAACAGCAGACGGTCTCAACGCGAAGTTCCCCAGTCGTTCTGAGGCTCAGAAAGGAGGTCGTCTTCTTATCGCATCGGCGCATTCACAGCCCGGGACTGTGGCTGAGCAGTTGCCAGTGGTGGCTCGAGGGCGTAAAGTCTCCCAGCACCGCGATGTGTACAACAGGTCCACGCCGGAACTGCTGACGGAAATCGAGCGCTGTTTAGATGCGGTGGCTGAGCAGCGCGAAGAGGACGCCTCGTATCGCCAGAAGTCGCAGCACATTACCAAAGAGGCCAGACTGCAGCGTCTGAGCAGGAGGCTGTCTGGCGCTAGCGAACTTGAACCGCTCAGCGAAGATGTAGACTTGGAGACCGACGACGCTCAGCTGGATTCGGCAGGAGATGTCGATGACCCGAATCTGAAGGCTGGAACCGCGGCAAAGCCATCGGAGCACCAATCCACTGCATCACCCCACGGATTTCTCTGCTACAGTGTGTGCCTAGCAGAAGGCAAGGCAAAGAAGCAGATCTCCTCCAAGGGCAGACGTAAGTACCATGCCCACTATAGTTTCGAGAAGATAACTTTAAAATGGGTCGAAAATTGTGCCATCACATGAGGATAGTAAAACATAATTTGCCAACAGCAACCCAATAATCTGATGCATGCACAATCCTGCCAGAGAAATCCGACCTAGGAATAACAGCGCCCAGGGCCACGCGGCTCTAGCGCCACACACACATACATATACACACATACATATACACACACACAAACACACACACACACACACACGCACGCACACACACACAAACACCCAACACTCTGCACACCCGAGCCACGGCACAACTATATTCATGAGGTCAGGTTTCTCTGGGCAGAATCGTGCACAGGGATACTGTCAAACCGGAAAGTTCAACGACCAGAAGGTTTAACGTTTGTATAATTTTGGCATGATAATGTGCAGAAAGTTAACAATGGCTACCTGGCCACCCATCTGTATGCGCATCTTTACACAGACATTTCAAACCGGGGCATTTCAAACGTTTCTTCAAATAACGAAAACAATGGTCGTTAAAATGTTAGACTTTGTGAGTCGTTAGACTTTCCAATTTTACAGTGTACCTTGACCAGTCGCATCTCAACTGGCTTTCTCATCTTTTCTTTAGAAATACAGAATAGGCTATAGACTGGGTCAGCAGGGATGCATTTGGCTGCATCAGAAATAGCATTCAGGCCTGCTGGGTGAGTGGGTGGGCTGCTGGGTGAGTGGGTGGGCTGCTGGGTGAGTGGGTGGGCTGCTGGGTGAGTGGGTGGGCTGCTGGGTGAGTGGGTGGGCTGCTGGGTGAGTGGGTGGGCTGCTGGGTGAGTGGGTGGGCTGCTGGGTGAGTGGGTGGGCTGCTGGGTGAGTGGGTGGGCTGCTGGGTGAGTGGGTGGGCTGCTGGGTGAGTGGGTGGGCTGCTGGGTGAGTGGGTGGGCTGCTGGGTGAGTGGGTGGGCTGCTGGGTGAGTGGGTGGGCTGCTGGGTGAGTGGGTGGGCTGCTGGGTGGGCTGCTGCGGATTTTTAAAACTTTTTTTCACACAACTCACAAACCTTAGTACATACAGGAATGTATATTGAAACCTGTCTAAGCCGACCAACGCGCGAGGGACCTTCAACAAGTGGTCTCTGTTACCAGGTGGTCTCCTTTTCCAGGGTCATTTGCCCGGAAATAGCATCCCTTGGTCCTGGTTTCAGTGGTCTTCTAGGACAGGTGGTCTTCTTGTCCGAGTGTTCGCCTTGGCAGGTTCTAATGTATAGTGAAACCCATCTAAGCCGACCATCGCCCGAGGGGCCATCCAAATGTGGTCCCCATGCACAGGTGATGTCCTTGACCAGAGTCATGTGACTGGAAATCACACCCCTTGGTCCTGGTAAGCTGTAGTAGTCCGCCCGGGACAGGTGGTCACACTATCCGAGTGGTCGCCTTGACAGGTTTTACTGTAGGTAACACAGCGGCAGTGGTGGTGAGATCTGCCCAGCTCGTCCGACCAGAGGTCTCGGAGTCATTGCGAGCTGGGTGCATGAGGCTAGATACAGACCAGAGGTCTCGGAGTCATTGCGAGCTGGGTGCATGAGGCTAGATTTTTAATTTTTTTTAATTTTTTTCATTGAAAACCACAAACCTTCAGACATGTGAATATGCACAAGATATACAGTGTACATATGTATGTATAGAGAAGCACTAGATAAATTGAGGCGGGTGATTCTTTTCTGGCCCGAGCTGCTCTAGCCGTGTACAATGTCCACATCATTATCCCCACTGCCTGCGTACAGATGGTGGTGGCAGCACGGAATTACACGTGGCGGTTGTGTCCGCAGTGGCTCTCCGTGGTGTCGGCAAGGCTGCTCAGGTGTTTGTTCAGGTTAGCCATGTGCTAGTGTATGAATACTGCGTTTTGTGCACTTGTGCGAGGTGCGTGATGATTTCTGATGAAAGCCACATGAGAACGACGGTAGAATCTTCCCATACACATACACTAGCACCCTTTTCACAGCCTGAGGGACTCGTGTGTTCTGCTAGCGTCCTGGTGTGACAGCATGCACTCCCCTTAAGTCCACATTGATGTTAAAATGTCTCCTCGCCATGTTTGGGCACGCTGATAGGGGATAGATGTACACTTCACAGTTTACACCCGTTGAAAACAAAATTAAAAGCGTATTTTGCGGACTATAAACCGCACTGGAGTGTAAGTTGCACCCCCCCCCCCTCATTTTTCCCACAAAATACAGACATCTACCCTAGTTATCACCGTTAATTTGATCATCAGAGTATAAGCCGCACCACCCTTTCTGGGGGTGAATTCTGAGTGATTCAAGTGCGGCTTATGCTCCGAAAGATACGGTACTTGGTATGTCAGTGTGTAGTTCTGATCACTTCCACATATCTCTATTGTTATCCATGTTCTCCAATGCAGGTGGAGCTGGTATCAGCCGATACCAAGCTCCGCTCGCCGGCGCAGTTCGTCCAGAAGAAGTCCGCCGTTCGGCACACGAAAGCGGTGATGCGCGGCGGCCAGGCGGTTGGCAGTGGTGGCGTCACCGGCCTGTGCACCGCCAGCGAGGAAGAATTGCGCTCACTGGTGCTCGAGCAATGGAGAAAGGATGCAGAGGGCCAAGATGTCTCAGGTACGGTGCGGTGAAAAATTCTAATGAGAAAAATTCCCGGTTTGCATGGGACTCAGTTGGATTGAGTTTCATGCATCAGCAGGAACGCCACCCACCTTCTAGGAGCGAGGCGCAGATGCAGATCCTAATTAGCTTCTGATCATCCGTGAAAAGTTACTTGTGTTACCATGGAAGATGCGGCTTGCTTCTGAAGATCATGTTTTTTCCTGACCAACAATGTGCAAATGTGGTCCAATACACACATACATACACACACATACACACACACACACACACGCACACACACACACACACCGGCTTCATATGCATCGACTGACTAGATGCACCTTGGGTCCTCATCCGAGTGTCGGTCATGAACAAATTCCGGTCCCTAGGTATATGCACAGTAGAGACATGCCCGTTACATTTACATGTAGAATTTTGTGGATAGCCTCCACACTATTCTTGGCTAGAAAGAGCAGGACGGATCCAAGAATTAAGAGGGTAAGGGCCGGACGGAAGTTCTTGCTAAGTCTAACATGTGAACGGATTTTTGCCTAACTGCTCGCACACGCACAGTTGCCACTGGGTGAAGCTGTTCTCCTGCAAAGGATGACGTAACAAGAGTTTTTTTTCTTGTGGTGTCATGGTTTCTGAATGCAAGGATGTCATGGGGTATTGAGGAATGATTTCATGTGGTTTGAAGAATGATGTCATGGGTTTTGAGGAATGATGTCATGGAGTTTTGAGGAATGATGTCCTGGGGTTTTGAGGAATGATGTCCTGGGGTTTTGAGGAATGATGTCATGGGGATTTGAAGAATGATGTCATGATGTTTTGAGGAATGATGTCATGGAGTTATGCTTGAGAATTGAGAAATCTCTACTCTGGCCTATCATCATGCTTGCATGATGTCATGCGGTTTTGCGTTGGCCATCTGTAGCTGTCACTTCTGCCGGGCGCGATGCATGCATGTATGATATTTCGCTCCTGAATTGTTCCTTCCTACCAATGCTTTCCTCGTCAGATTCGTCCCAGTCGATACTCTCCTATCAGTGGCCCTATCATGAAGACCTGACTCCCTTCATCAGCAATGCCACAAGCGAGCAGCTGGAGCACTCCCATCTGCGCTTCACAGTCTGGGCTAGAGAGCTCGTGCCCGTTACCACAGAGATCATGGCCGACCGGCCAGCACGTCAGACTATGGCTGGCGGTGGCGACATGGCGGAAGGAATAGTACGGCGTGGTAGTCACTCTCCACTGGTGTCCTCTCCTGTGCTAAGCAGAGCTCCAAAAGGTGAGCAATGGAAGAGAATTGTTTTGAGCCATAATGTGTTGGCCGGGAGTGGGGAGGGCACAAGTTGTAACACTGAGGCAGCGATGTCGTAGTATGTGGCATCGGGAGAGGTGTGGGAGAAGAGGAGCGGGGAGGTAAAATTCTGTGACTCGCATAAACGTCACTCAAACTCCCATTGCCCTATCATAATTAGTGCTAGAGTCCAATTCCACAATGAGATTTCCGTAATTCCGGCAGTCTGTGTTAGTTTGGGTCCTGACAGTGGCCTCCGGTTTCTAGTAGCATGCTTATGTGTATGATCTATTCAATTCAGAGATGTTCCTGCAAGATGCCTCTGCAGCCAGACCAGCAGCTACATTGTACTTTGAGTGAAATTTTGAGAAATCGAATCAAACAGTCGGTCAGCACACATACCTCATGTGTCCCACAACCCCAAGGTCAACAACATAATTATAACTAGCTGAGCTCTATGGCCTCTGTTACACTCCAGGTCCGTAGCACCCAGTCGGACCAGTCCGACCACAACAGGAAATTAGTTCGAAAATCTGAGTGCCTCATTCGTGCTCAACCGGGTATTTTGTCGATTATATTTCTTTCTGGTGTTTTCATTGGTATAATTATACTATTGAAGGGAGTTACTTATTTATTTATTTATTTATATATTTCTGCACCTCGTGGCATGTCAAGACAGCCAATTGAATTGAGGAGAGGGTGAGACCAACCATGGAAGATTAGAAAAGAAAGAAAATGAAGAGCACGTACACAAAGTGGGAAGGGATTAGCAACTTACAAAGCAATGGGATGCTCAGCGAGCTATGCAGCGGAAGTGGTGACTGTGACTTTGTTTACAGTGTTCCATTATAATGGGAGGCTGCAGGGTGGAGATGGCGAATAGTGGATGGTTAAAGAACAGCCTAGCTCAAAAATACATAATATTGGCTGAATGGTCAAGTATCCCATGCCATGGTCGTACTACCTGAAATGCTGCTGCTTCATACCTGGCCTCTATCACTCTCTGTTGCATTCAGGGTCTGTGATAAAGATGGTTCAGAGCCGCATGCGCCGCACCACCTTGGCACCGAAGCCTAAGTGCTGGGTGCGGCAGGTCGGCGAGGTGATAGTGCCACTCAGCGAGTTCTCGCCGCTGTCTACGTCACACACTCGCACCGACCAGCTAGCCGCACCGCTGACCGAGGAGGAACTGCGAAGATTGTATGAGCGTGTAAGTACTGGACTGGGTTTCTCAGAAATATCTCAATGCTCTTGTCTCACCCTCTGCCCTCTGTTGTACCTGAATTCCACTCTGCTTCTTTTTCTCATACTAACGGTTTGTCTTCGAAGATTCCCTCGGCCAGAGCCAATCTAGCTGGCAGTTTAACCTCAGTTCAGGGGTTTTCAAATTAATGCTTTTTGTGGTCCCTGAAATGAAAATTGAGTCCGATAATTTTGCTTTCTACCCCCCCCCCCCCTTCCCTTCCCGATAATTATGACCGCAGATTTCCATGCTGGATGATGCAAGCCAGGTGCTGTGCCGGTTACTTGCGATTTTGGTTTACAACTGTTTCATCTCGTGCTGTGTCTTTGCTTTGCATGCTCTGCAATCCAGCACCACTCCGTCACATCCGTGTACAACCCGCATCTGTGCATGCCGGGATGCATAACCATCAGCTTGACTTACTGGCAATGGCCAGAGCACAGCCTGTCGGTGTGCATCACCGACACGGTGACTCTTCCACGCTTCATGGATGCCGCTATGAACAAGCCCAGAGGTGAGTGTAATCATGCCGGTTACCATCACTGTGTGTGTATAACTGTCAGTATGTCTGTCTTTCCGTCTATCTGTGTGTGTGTGTGGGGGGGGGTGTGTGTGTGTGTGTGTGTGGGGGGGGGGGGGTGTGTGTGTGTGTGTGTGTGTGTGTGTGTGTGTGTGTGTGTGTGTGTGTGTGTGTGTGTGTGTGTGTGTGTGTGTGCATGTGTGTGTGTGTGTGCGTGTTCGTGTGTGAGTGTGTGTGTGTGTGTATGTATATTTGTGCATGTCGTCAGATGGAATGGTACAGCATTGATGTTATAATCAAAGAAATTACATGTATATCTGTAGCTGAGACTATCCTCAGCTTCAACTGCAGACATCTTTGCGTATAACGACACTCGGCGGTGCATCAGAAAAGTGTCCTTATACCCGAAGTCTCATTATATGTATGCAGTTAGATGGGACTTTGCTCTGGGCATGGAAATTCTGTCGTTATATCCGCAGTCGCTATTAGCGAAGTTGACTGTATTCCAGATGTTGGGTGTGTGTGTGTGCTCCCCTGGAAGTGCACGCATACGTACGTGTTAGTCCTGGGTGAAATACATTGTATAGAGCTTGACCGTGTGCTTGCCTTCACTATTTCTCAGACACAGCGCTGAAGATCTACCTGAATATCAATGGACAGCGATATCGCGAGTGTAGCAGCATCATCGCACATCACAGCCACACTCCTAACTACGCACTACGGGAGGTGCTAAGCTTGTCTAACGTCAGTTTGGATCGCGACACTGTGGAGCTGGTGATAGCCGTCAAGCTCTGCCGCTCCGGCAGGAGACTGCGCAAGGCACGCTCCCGGACGTTTGCCGTGCGTTCGCTGCGGCTCGGGTCGGTCGCCTCGAGCGAGTCCTGCCGTCAACACTGGACCAGGGTATTGTCACAGCCAGCCCAGGTCATCACTAGCCGGCATTCACTGGAGATGGACACTGAGAGACTGAGTAAAGCGGCAATGCTTTAGCCACATTGCTACAGACATTGCTACAGTCATTGCTACAGTCATGTACTGATACAGTGTGAAAATGCTACAAATACCGGGAGAGAAACGTTCATAGCTCAACTTTACTTCTACATGCATGCGAGGAGTCTAGGTGTAGATATCACTGTATGCATAAGTATACTGTGAAACGAAATTCTCTTCCTTACTCTCTTTCCACATATTATTCTCTCTCTCTCTCTCTCTCTCTCTCTCTCTTTCTGTCTCTGTCTCTCTCTTTTTCTCGTTCCCTCTCGCTCTCTTTCTCTCTCTCTCTTTCTCTCTCTCTTTCTCGTTCCCTCTCGCTCTCTTTCTCTCTCTCTCTCTCTCTCTCTCTCTCTCTCTCTCTCTCTCTCTCTCTCCGCTTTACGGTTTGCATGTCCCCACCCTTGCTATGTAATGGTCTCCCCTGTTGAGCGCTCTTCATCCTCCTCTTCTTCCTTTCAGGCCTCCAATACCCATCCTTGGTTGCACGCATTGATTAGTATGGCTGCCTGCGGACCACATCCCAGCTTACATGTACCAAATTATTGCAATCACAATAGCCTCTGTAGTACATGACTGGGGTGATGTCAGAAAGCAGCACTTCCGCATGCATACATGTCAGCTGAGTTCATTGTAAACCAAGCACACAGGTGTCTACTGCATGGGAACAATGCAAAACAGTGGAACTTTGAGGCCAATTCGTTGTAACTCTGAGCTTAACGTTCTGCACATTCAGCAGGCAGCTTCTAGGGATGCTGAGTCCATGTCTCAGTAGCCTTCACCACTATACTACCTCATGAAGACCCAAGGGCGAAAGTTTGGAGAGATAATTATAAGTATTACAATTGCAGTGTACGACCGTAGTGGTGAAGGAGATTCATGATTAACATTAATTTTTGTAGTAATTGGCTGCAGAGGAGCATCCGCAGATTGAAGAATGCTGTAAGCCACGCCAGTATCATTATATGAAAGGTGACAGTGCCAAGGTGCCAATGATTAGTAGTAAAATACTAGCATTTTGCTGAAGTGGAGCATCCGCAGATTGAAGAATGCTGGAAGCCACGCCAGTATCATTATAATTATGACAGGTGACAGTGCCAAGGTACCAATGATTAGTAGTAAAATACTAGCATTTGCTGCAGTGGACCATCCGCATATTGAATAATGCTGTAGGCCACTCCAGTATAATTACAGGTATATCATATGAAAGGTGAAAGTTCCTAGGTCATAGTGGCGTTGCGGGTGTGGTGCTGTGCTTCGGGTGTTCAGCTGGTAGGAGGTGTTGATCATTTATCTAGGAACAAATTTACTTGTACTGCATGCGTGAAATCAGCCGTGCACAATGCATGCGTTGTCGGAGTATATTCTATGCCAACAATCCAAGAAGGCAGAGGTTATGAAGACCATTCACGGACATGTATGGTAAGCTTACCATATTCAAAACGGTATGTCCATCGCATTGTTCTATCGCAATGCAGCACAGCGAGGATAGAGGATGATTCCCTTCCATCGTCATCATAACATCGGGCATGATTGCCCGTTTGACTTGCGATGTAAAATAAAAACATTATACAAAAAAATACAGCGCATCACACTGTATACATTAAAGTGGTCTTTGTAAAAAAAATATAAGAAAAAATTTAAAAAAATATAAAACGTGGCATGCTCTTCAAAGTTCGAATGGACTATTGCTCCGCGGATAGGCATACCGCTGACAGTGTTTTAAGTACAGGTACATGTATGCTGCTCACGTACCAGTAAGCATGTGGAGTTTTTTTCCTGGTGTAGGGATGGTTCCTGCCTGTGTGCAAACAGCATTGTCAAGCAGTGGAAGTGAGGAGAAGCTGCCCTGATCCCGTGTCCGTCTCCAGCATTTCTCTGGTCGCGCTGCCATGTGTGTTGCAGTAACACGCCTTTGCACTCCACTGCTTGAAATGCATGGTGACCGCGCCATGTTCCCACTTGTATCTACCGTGAATCTTCTTAGGCTCCGACTCATAGACAGTAGCACATGTATTCTGTGGCTGGTCGAAGATTTCACCAATAGACATTGACTGCTCTTCGCTGGCAGTGCAATGTCCGGCGCAGATATTGTACTGGAAGCCCGAATCTAGGGCGTCCTCTTTCTCCGAGGCGTTCTGCGATAACGTCATGATAAAGTTGTCGTTCTGCTTTGCAAGTGTGCTGAAGTTCAGCTTGATGGCCTGCAGTTGGCACTGTCCTCCAAAGTCACACACACTTTTCCTGGTATTGTCGGGAGCGCGGTTGATCTGGACTTTGAGTCGCTTGTTCAGTTTCCATTGCCGGTACGTGAAGGTAATGAACGGCCTGGTGGAGTCCAGCTCCGCTTGACCCGTGGCGCCGTTGCCACGGTATGAGAAGCATGTCTTGGGTTTGATCACGTGATGGTCCGTGCCTTGATCCGAGGGCGTTTGTTCCATTCTTATAACGAATTTGACGTGGCTCTGCTTCATCTGGATCGCCTTCTTGATGGCATCCGTTACGTCGATCCTCTTCCACACGCACTCGGCATAGAATGGTTTGTCGTCGCGATATTGGCACTCCTTCATCAAGGGCCGCTGTCCGCATCTCGGATTTTTACCATTCCTGGTACCTGTGATCAACTGAGTGGTTTTGCTCGTGCTGATCAGCTGATCGGGTTTGATGTATGCCTCCGCGCTGAGAGTGACTCTGTGACGGCCACTCTGGTTGCGTGTCGGATACAGGCAGACGTTGAGGCGACCGCGGCGGATGCTGCTGGCTTGGCTAGCCGTGGCGTCTCCCCACACACCCGACAGCTGCACGGTAATGGATCGTTTCTGCACGGATTGGCATTGGTCATCATCACCATGCGTGTAGCCTGCAGGACATATTGAACACAAATAGAACAGAATAGCGATAACGCTCACTAACTCAGTGTCAAAGTTGAAATCGGATTGTGAGCCAATGCAATTTAAAATGCCAATTATGGATAAAAAGGAGCTAGAACTAGTAGAAGGGCAAAACGGTACGAGTTATGAAAATTATTGTCATTTTTGTCGCACTGGCTGATCGTATAACTGATCTGGTAACGTTGGTGGACAGTTAGTCATAACTCGTACCATTTTGTCTTTCTCCTTTTATCCATAAGTTGCCTTATGATTTCTTCGCCTGGAATTCAGGCCAGCAGTTTTTTTAGTCTTTGGTGCAGGCCTGAGCATGCACTGCGCGCGGTTTGCACGATCGTGTCGATTCGGTCTTGATTTTTTCGAATGCAACCCCACCGCCTTCTATGTCGCCTTGCACAGCGGACATGTCATCGGCAGTACATGTACAGTCAACTTCGCTAATAACGACTAGACTGCGGATATAACGACAATTCGCGAATAACGACAGAATTTCCATGCCCAGAGCAAAGTCCCTTCCAACGGTAATACATAATGAGACTTCGGGTATAGCGACACTTCGCGAATAAGGACACTTTTCTGATGCCTCGCCGAGTGTCGTTATAAGCGAAGTTGACTGTACTGGTATGTCCTGAACACACCCCAGTATGCCCTACGTACCCCGGGCCCGCTCTTCAAACGGTTTTCAATATACACTGTTCAGGCATGTAGTACTCGTACATTCACGTGCTTGGCAAGAGTAGATCTGTACCAGTTAGCATTCTGCTGTCACGTGCAACAGCCAGACCGCAGTGATAGCGATTGCTTACCTGAGTCTTGCCTGGGCATGTCAAAACCAGCGTGCCTGGCATCAGTCCCGGACAGTCCGCAGACGGAGGCCAAGGCCACGCGAGGGTTGTGCGGCTCGCCGCAGCATTTCGTACGCATAGCACTGTACCGGTGGCAAGAAAGACGACCCCAGGAGACGTAGGGAGGCAGCGAGTCGAGTAAATCTCTGCACTCCTCGCCGGTTATCGTACACTTTGCCGACACCATTGCGGCGAAGCAGAGCACAAGACAAGACGGTAGCAATGCCCTTTCCATTATTGAAATTCTGTCAGATGGTATCCTCAAGGCGAGGTAAGAGAAAAGAAGATGGTATTCCTGCTATGCACACAGAGTTCCAATCCACCTCTCTCCTCAACAACCGAATAGCGTTTGCAGTAACTGTTGTGCAAGTGATGAAGATGTTGCATTCCCTCTCCGGCTTTTATACTCTACGAGGGCTATTTGTCAGTAAACTCGACAATAGAGCAAGGTGTCAGCTCCAAACGGCGCAGCACGCGCTTCAAGACGATTGGCTGACACTTGACGACAGGCAGCGCGATCTCTAGCGTTGAGAGCAGCCAACTTCTTCTACAATTAACGCCGAAGTTGCTGCGTCTCAGTTCGTATCTTACAACAGTTGCATAACTGTTTCCGGCTCCCCGCGCTTATGGATAGTATCATTACGTGTCACAGTGACACGGAACAAAGGGCCGCCGCTGGTCTTATCAAGAGACACATTTCTGAACAGCGCAACAGAGATAACGGTGAGGGTAAAGGGTTGACGTAGACAAACACAAAGGGCGACGGTACAAAGCAACACAGACACTAGTGCCAACAAGGTTGAGGATCCTATCGTCACACAGTAAAGCAGTAGAGGTAAAAATATTATTGGATTATGCACATGTACATGTATGTATCTATCGGGACTATCGCTTACGGTGATGCCAGTTGGAATCCAGTTTCCTAAACCACCCTTCAGCACGCATGGTTTGATCATAACAGTAATCCCACTGCGATACATCAGCGATAGCCATAGTTTTGTCACAGCACAACCAAGTGCCCTGAACACCAACGCATTTCTCTTTCTGCTGTTGTCGATGATCATGTCGACTCATCAGGTTGAATGGAAGTCTTCCCTCTCGCTGTTATCTGATAGCGGCGGTCCCATGCTTATTTGGAATTTGCTCGCTGTATCAGCCCCTGAGGGGCGTGCCGTGTAGTCCCAATTGGAATACAATCATCATTTCAGCAGCTGAATTTCGCTCATCCATCAAAACTATTCCTAGGGTTTTCTGTGAAAAAAGGCGTCGACGCCTGTTGGGAATTCCCCAATACAACCAGAAAACCCTGTGTGGACCATGGCTATCGCCAGACGTTTCTGGAGTACTGTAACGTCTCTTGCATAGCTACTGGCTTAAAATAATATTGATAATATCAGCAATGACTCTTGAGATCATGCATCAAGTTTCAGATTATGAATGCCAACCCACATTCATACTTTGTATGCATAAGAATGTATTCCGTAGGAAGAAGGATTGAATTCCTGAAACTCGAAGGCCAAAGACGGTACGTACGCACTGTGCATGTGTGCTTCTGTTGAGTTCTGAGGCTTCCGACGTCCGCAACACAACCAGACAGTGAGAGATACTGACGCGCAGACTTGCTCCATTCGTTACATTGTAGTTTTCATGTCGGAGAGGTCATGTACGCGTGTGTGTTGGGCAATGACAATGAGCGTCAGTGAGAGTACCAGATCTGTTCGTTCAGGCACTGCGCTGCACACTGTGCATAAGGAGCAATTCGCGCAGGAGAATGATGATTGTGTTTTGCATCTTCACCCAAATAAGGAGTGCATGTGGCCCTGTTGGCCCCTTGCCCCTTGACTTAACCTCAAGTCTTCACTTAGGCCAAGTTCTAGCTCTTATCTTCTCCTCTTAGTCTTAGAGTCTTATCATGATGGTAAAGTCGGGGTAACCCTCGCGTTCGCCTACGTCATGCATATGCGTCATACACTCAGAGAACATACCCGTGGCTGAAGGGACACTACCTAACGCTAATGGTTCAATACAAATCCATGCAAATGTTCCAGATACCATGATGATCATTTTGATTGCTTAAGCATGCAACTTTGCGCTGCCACGTACTCCACTTAGACCCTCTCTTCTTCATAAGTATGTAATAGCTAGCTGTGTATCCGCATATTGGATACTCGTGTCGCCTTGTATATGAGGACCTACATGGGTTCTCAATACATGTATGCTCAATTCGTAGGCTTTACGCTGTATCATGTTTGATAGGGAAATCGATACACAGCATCGGTGTGCCACCGTTGGAAGAGCCGGATGTCGAATGTCCGTCCACTCGGTCATATCCAGCTGGAAGCCGCTCCCGCTTCAACTAAATTTACAATGTAGCTACGACTCATACTATTACTAGCTGTCCAGCTCCTGAGTCGCAGATCACTACTGACTAACAAGTAACAGTACTGAGCGAAGAAATCCAACCTCATGAATGACGCAACGCAGCCCTTGCACTAAACGCACTGGTCGGTGACGTCTAATACGGCACTACATTATTCATGAGGTCGGATTTCACTGACCAGAACTGTAGTGCATGTAGTATTGTCTGCTTCCCCTGTGTATCCGTGTGTGGCTCTATGCAGAGCGGGCAAGAGCGGAAAACAGTCTCAACGCGAAACACAAGCCCAGTGCTTCAGAATACAATCATATCTCTACAGGTCCATACAATAGTCTACGCGTATAGCCTCTCTGCTGTCCTCTGCTGTCTGCAGGATCATTTCTACGCTTTGATGCTCCATAAAAACAGGAAATTGTTTTGCAGTCGCCGCATTCAAAGCCAGGTTATTCAGCAGAGCAGTTACGTTTAACGTCCAAAAGCCGAACGCCGAAAGTTCAGTATTATGGTGATTAGAACACGTCCATGAACTGCAGGTAAACTGATGACTGGCCGGGCTCCGGCTCGGTGAACTGAATCATGCCCATGGCTGGATACTTCGCATCCACAGCAGACGCGCGGCGCACCACCGAAAAGGTCAGACAGCAGGGCGTGAGCAGGGGTCAGTTTGGCGTTTGGTTAACTTAACCACTTCAGCGACGATCTGGACTCGGAGGGTAACGACGATCATCTGGGTAATATTGTTAGGTTCACGTTTGTAGAATTGGACGGCGCAGACATCTGAGCACCAATGAACTGCATCTCACGCCTTCCCCCAGCACAGCGCGTATGGGCACGCAGATCAGATCTCGAGGGCAAGAAACGCAAATACGTACAATGTAGGTGTTCTTTTCCAACGCCAGGCGTAACCATAGGAATAAATGGAGAGAGAGAGAGAGAGAGAGAGAGAGAGAGAGAGAGAGAGAGAGAGAGAGAGAGAGAGAGAGAGAGAGAGAGAGAGAGAGAGAGAGAGAGAGAGAGAGAGAGAGAGAGAGAGAGAGAGAGAGAGAGAGAGAGAGAGACAGAGAGAGAAGAGAGAGACAGAGAGAGACAGAGAGAGACAGAGAGAGACAGAGAGAGACAGAGAGAGAGAGAGAGAAGAGAGAGAAAGAGAGAGAGAGAGAGAGAGAGAGAGAGAGAGAGAGAGAGAGAGAGAGAGAGAGAGAGAGAGAGAGAGAGAGAGAGAGAGAGAGAGAGAGAGAGAGAGAGAGAGAGAGAGAGAGAGAGAGAGAGAGAGAGAGAGAGAGAGAGAGAGAGAGAGAGAGAGAGAGAAGAGAGAGAGAGAGAGAGAGAGAGAGGAGAGAGAGAGAGAGAGAGAGAGAGAGAGAGAGAGAGAGAGAGAGAGAGAGAGAGAGAGAGAGAGAGAGAGAGAGAGAGAGAGAGAGAGAGAGAGAGAGAGAGAGAGAGAGAGAGAGAGAGAGAGAGAGAGAGAGAGAGAGAGAGAGAGAGAGAGAGAGAGAGAGAGAGAGAGAGGGAGAGGAGAGAGAGAGATAGAGAGAGAGATGGGGAGATGGAGAGATGGAGAGGTGGAGAGATGGAGAGATAGAGAGAGAGAGAGACAGAGAGAAATAGCATGGACATTTTGTCGTTGTTCGCGAATTGTCGTTATAGCCGCAGTCGTTATTAGCGAAGTTGACTGTATGTGGAACACGAAGTGGCAGCAGTGGAGTCTGTACACCTTTAGGAACCTGTCAGTTAAAGACAGGAAAACAATTTCTGGCATGCTACGGTACGTGCATTTAGTTTATTTTATACACTCGGAATGGAAGTCACATTAATTTGTGTCGCACATACATGTATCTCGTTGAGCATACATGTATGGCCAGTGGCGGTTCCAGAGTCAAAATACCGACATGTACAAGTAAGAATGAAAAACACATCCCGAGCCAGACCACATCAAAGAAACATGCTGTGTACATTCGTTGAGACGGCAATGGACGTTGCCTGCAGCAAATTGAGATAGCGATGGACGTTGCCTGCAGTAAATAACTAAATATCCTCATATACATGTACAAATCTTGACTAGTTTGAGGGAAAGACACAAACGGCATACAAATGTAAATATACACGGCGGCAGTCCGGCTTTACCTAGCTGCTACTAGTAGAGTGCTCAAGGTTTGTTGTGATGGACGGAGCTCATGTACAACAACTGTACATGTAATAATAATAATAATATTATAGAACTTTTGAAGAACGTATTTGAATGCCTGTTCATACTAAATTGTACGTGAATTGCCCGTTTCGGTGGTAAAAGCATGAGGCTGGAAATAGTACTGAACTTTGAAGATACACGTCAATAATGCTGTACGTTATAGACAACTTGAATGTACATGTACATGTATATACACTCCTAACCGGTAAATATTTGCAGTGCTACCGCGCGCGGCTTGACCTGATATTACACAGTTGTTCTCCATGCAAGGTTATAATTATATTACTAGTGAATACTGTGCTTGCAATGTATCGCACGCATGCTGATGTACATAGATGTACACATGTAAAATTTATACATATATGTTTGCTAACTACCTGTGTACATGAGTATCAAAAAACGAAGGCATGGAATATACGTACATGACTTGCAGTAGAACAATGCTAGCAGCAGTGAGTCTGGGTACGGAACTTTTTGTACAGATCATGTCGTTCCATCACCGCAGAGCTGAGCAAGAGCTACGCTGCCCACACCGGCAAATCCAGCTTTTACCCTGGTGTGAAGAACGCTGTCATAGGTGAGAACAGCATTGTCAAGAAGTGGACGTGAGCAGAGGATGCGCCGCTGGCTTATCCGTATCCAGCATCTCCCTGGTAGCATTAGCATAGGTGTTACAATAACACTCCTTTGCACTCCACTGCTTGAAATGCATGGTGACCGCGCCATGTTCCCACTTGTATCTACCGTGAATCTTCTTAGGCTCCGAGTCGTAGACAGTAGCACATGTGTTCTGTGGCTGGTCGTAGATTTCACCGATAGAGGTAGCTTCCTTCTCTTTGGCATTGCAGTGTCCGGCGCATATATTGTAGTAGAAGCCGGAAGCTAGGGTGACCCTCTCGGAATCCATTATGCTGAAGTCGTCGCTGCTTTTGGCCAGGGTGGTAAAGTTCAGCGTGATGCGTCGCAGTTGGCACTTTCCTCCAAAGTCGCAGGAGCTCATCTTGGTATTGTCCGGAGCGCGATTGATCTGGACATTGAGGTGCTTGCGGAGATTCCATTTGCGGTACTTGAAGGTAATGAACGGTCGGGTGGAGTCCTGCACGACTTGCTGTGTTGGCCCATTGTACGAAAAGCAAGTAGTCGGCTGCTGCTCCGTGCTTTGCCCCAATGACGTTTGATCCATTTTCACAACGAATTTGACGTGGCTCTGTTTCTTCTGTATCGCCTGTTTGATCGCATCTGTTACGTCTATCTTCTTCCACACGCAATCTTCGTAGAGCTTCCGGCCGATCTCGTTGCGGAAGCGGCAATTCTCCGTAATGGGCCGCTGTCCGCATTTCGGGACCGCACCGTTCTTGGTGCCTGTTAAGAATTTGGTCGGATTGCTTGTGCCGATATGCTGGTCGGGTTTGAAGTAAGCCCGCGCGCTGAGAGTGACACGATGGCGTCCACTCTGGTTGCGTGTTGGATACAGACAGACGTTGAGGCGTCCTTGACGGATGCTATTGGCCTGCCCAACTGACGCATCTCCCCACACATCTGAAAGTTGCACTATGACGGATCGTTCCTGCTCCGATCGACATTGGTCACCATAAACCGGATAGGCTGTGGGACGTATTGAAAGACAAACCAAAACAGGGAACAGTTCAGTTGTGTAATGATTGCGTCCCTAGGTTACACAGAGCAGCACCTTGTCAGCGCGGTTAACAGAACCACTTCTAGCTAGAAGTGTCACACTCCATTGACAATGACATGTAGTTTTCGAGTGTGCAATTTCCCAGTTCCCCCGTTTCACTGAGCCCTTGAACTCAACGCCATGCTGCGTTATTATTCGCGTCATCCTAGCGACGGGAATAAGTCAGCACGCCCTGATTTCAAACAGTGAGACACATCCAGAATATACATGCACATGTACACGAAGAATGTACATTGGCAATAGCAGTGCACACTCAGCATGAAATGAGTCGAGCGAGCTGTACTTCCGGTGCGGAGAGGCGGGCTCACACGCCAGTATGGCAACTTCACCATGTCTCACCCCCAAGATTCCATTCCATTTCTTGCACAATATCATACTTGTAGTCGCACAAAGGTAAGAACGCACACATGTACAAACAAATTGGAGTTGCCTGTTTGTTAAAAGGCCGAAAAGAAAATTAAAAATTATTAAGAATCGCTCACGATAGCACGACCGCAGAGATCATGACTGCTTACCCGAATCCAGCTGCGGCCTGTCAAAGCCAGTATCCATGGCATCAGTCCCGGACAGTGCACAGACCGAGGCCAAGGCCACGCGAGGGTTGTGCGGCTCGCCGCAGCATTTCGTACGCATAGCACTGTACCGGTGGCAAGAAAGACGATCCCTGTACACAAAGGGAGGCCGAGAGCGGAGTAAATCTCTGCACTCCTCGCCGGTTTTCGTACACTTTGCCGACACCATTGCGGCGAAGCAGAGTACAAGAAGAGAATAGAGTACTGCTTGTTCCATCTTTGATTCTGAATTCTGCAACTAGCTGTAGCTACAATGTATAAGTGAATACGTGGAATAGAGGTTAGAAATAGGAAGTCAGTCTGTCCCGACGATATCCTGAGCACCAAGGCACTTGTCTCAAACCAGAACAGGGTTTGCAGCTGAGCCAATGATGAAGACGTTGCATTCCCTCTCCGGCTTTTATACTCCACCGGGGCTATTTGTCCGTATGTCCGACAATAGCTGGGTAATTGCTTTCGCCCTCCCCGGCCGCGATGACTGTGTACAACACACAATAGACCAGCCGCCAATCTCATCAGTGCCATCACCACGATCACCACGCGTTCTCAGATTGATCACCGTCCGATCAAGATCGAGATCGAAAGCAGCTCCAAGTCTCGAGAGCGAGCCGGGCTCCGTGCATCTACAGACACAGTGCTAGTGCACTAGTACTAGTAGTAGTAGCACAATGCTGGTAGTGTACGGAGTGCCGGGTGAAGCCGTGCATGGCCCATGAGTATGCGTATGATATGAGTGAAGACGCGATCAGCTGACTCCGATCCGGTTCGGGTACATGCATGTGCACCTACAACTACAGACAGTACAGTACAAGGCTACATTGTGGTTCACGTGATCCACTCTCTTCTACCCGCATGGCTACATAGTCATTGACATAATTGTATAATCTACCTGTATGTCGACTGGCTTGCGCTCGTACTCGGGGCAGTATCCGTGCGGACCAGGTGCATGTGTGACATTCTAGCTCCTCTCCATCTTTCTCTCTCTCAGTGACAGTGTAGTGTCACGCCGTGTGGTCAGTTAAGTTACATGCAGTTGGAGGTTTGGCAGGTTGACTGGCTTGCCCTCCGTGTATACCGCGTACGCTGGTGCATGCTGTACTGTCCCAGCCTCTTCCTGTGAGTGAGAGTGACTGTATCATTGTATGCACGACAAGGTCGATGGGCGTCAGTGGGAGTGCCAGATTGGTCCCGCGATCCGTACAGCATTCATTGGCATTGGGGTAGGGAATGTGTTTGGCCTCGGGCTCAACAGTTGGGCATGGGGTCGATATTCATGACACTGTACTCAGTCGGTAGCCATACCCGAGGTCCTGTTTGCCTCTCGTTCGACCAAGCTCCAAGGCTGTTGCTGCGGCTAACCCTCTCTTGAAGAACTAGGCTCTGTGTACACGTCTGTAACAATCACGTGACAAACGTAGTTTTGTCCACATTCGGAATATCGCATTGGACAGAACCAAGACATTATGTTGTGCACTCGTGATGGACACACGTACACAGCTGTCACGATGCTCGTGTGGAGCGATGCATGGGAAGAAACCAAAGCAGTGTGCTGTGTGGCGTTGTTGGAAGAGTCGGATATCGAATGTTCGCTGTCTCGAGTTCTGATGCCTTGTCACGGAGTCAGCACAGCAACGGACCCCCGACATACTCCTCCTGAAGGACACGACTACAGTAATAAGTATTGTCATTTTAGGCAGCTCCTATCTTACCCGCTTCATTACAGCAGTGTTCTACCGACGTAGCGTCGCATGTACAATGTAGCTGTTGCGATGCAAACGAGGAATCCGATCAAACAGCCCACACGATGTGGTTGCTACCATCACGTCAAGTGAATGGGATGGCTACATCGTACAGTACAACCAGCTACCTACACGCAAACAAGTAGCAATGCGCTGAAGCATCGGGTGTCGCGTGAGTGTCCTGGACTAGTGGAGTGCTTGGAACTAGTTGTCCTTATCGAACAGAGACCACTTGAATCTCTTCTGACGGTGTTGAGGAGGACAGCTGTGGGTTTAAGCTTATTGCCTTTTAAAATTCTATTCGCTCATATTCCGGCATCACGGGGGGAGCACTGCAGAGAGGTTCATCGCGGAGCTACATATAAACGGAACGGTTTTATTTCCATAGGTGTATGCAGATCTAGAATGTAAGTGCACTATTGTACACGTGAGCAAACTCAGTGAAGGATTCCACCACTTGAGTTGAAGTACGAGAGGAGGGCACTGCAACTGGACAAAACCAATGGGAGACAGAACTGATTACGAACGAACTGATGGGAGACAGAACTGATTACGAACGAACTTTAACGTTTAAACAGCACTGTGCATCGGTCTTCTTTACTTCAGAAGGAAACACCTCCTGACTTCTAGTCCAAAAGTACTCTAAACAGCTAACAGATGCTAGTACTGTACTGTATGTGATAGAGGTAGCGCCATGTGACTTTGGCCATGATTTCATAGGACAGGTACTAGGTGTTTGCTTTCCCGCACCGGAGTTCGCGCTTTTCCGACATGTTCGTGAGTCAGTCAAGTGTCAAGGCGGAAAAGGACGAGCTCCAGCGTGAGGAGCAAAGTTCAGCAAACCCCTTTCCTAATACATTGTCATGTTGGGTAATCCTGAAATAAATATTATTATTATTATTATTATTATTATTATTCATACACTACATGTACCTATACAATCATGTACATGTGCATGTGCAAGTTTTAAGTTATATCTGATATTGTTGATATACGTACATGTAACTTTAAAGTTAGTTTCTACCGAGCTACATGTACATGTACATGTATAATGTACATGTATGCATGTACATTATACAGAAAGTGTCTATACATGTACCTGAGCCATGACACTTGCACTCATATTACGCACAGTGTATTCTAGCGCTGATGTTATCCCCTCAAGCTTCGTGGTCACTGCGGCACTGCCTTAGCCTGCAGTACAATCACTAGCGAATACTCAATCTGCGGACAGCATGCTGTTTCGTTCTTTTTGAACTCATCAGCGCAGCACAGAGGAAATGAGGCCGAACCTGATAGCAATGGAAATAAAAATTTCCAATCAGGCCCGAACGTACCTTGCCAGAGTGCTCAAACTGACAAGTCAGTGAGCTCTGCGTAACGCAAACAGCAAAGGCTCTACCCCACGCAAGAGTGCTCAAGAGCAGGAGCGAAATAGCGAATAGCATTTTTATGGTTTATCGTCTGACGAGTGTTTTTTTGAAACACGAAACTCGGCGTCACGAGAAGGATTTTTGGTCTCTGTTGTTCTGCCCTGTGTTATAAATTATACATTATACATGTACATTTACTTCAGTATGTCAACGGACTAACGGATACATGTAGGTGAATGTGAACCTGTGATCTTCTACATGTACATGTACAATGTTCAATGTATGTCTGCTGCTTCGTCAATGCACCTTTAGCCATCGTGTAGTCTACATTGTACATGGACATGGACATGGACATGGTAGAACACTTCGAGAAATAATAATTTCAATCGTGTACATGTACATGTACATGCACGTCAGGAAGTCGTACCCAAACAATTTTGGTTTGGGTACGACTTCCTGATTTACATTATACATGTACATGTACATGTACATGTAACACAAAAGAACAAAAATTAATGGTGAAAAAGCCGGGGAAGGAGTTGTAATGTTGCAAGTACAAGTACATGTACATGTCCCTGTAGGCCGTACATGACATTGTACTACACTCCATGCATGGCTGTATTCACATGCATGTACTGTACATGTACCAGTTCAGTTTATACATGTAAGTACGATACACGTGCATGGCATCAGTACATGCACAGTACATGTGCATGTTCGTGCAAATATTAATTGGACAACAACTGGCGAATGTCAGAAGCGAGGATGTTCCTAATGTCGGAATCTAAGATTCAGCAAGTACTAGAAACGTCCCTCTGAAGACCCAGACCTGGTTCAAGTGAACCTGTAGGCTGTACTAAACTCTAAAGAGTAAAGTGACTGAATTGCTACATGCACGTGTACACTGTACAGTGGCATGCATACAGTCATGACTCATGTATCATAAGCAGTACAGGTGATGTTTATGTGTCTATTCTATCCCCTGTGCATGCACCTGTGTCGCATGCTGTGTGTGATGCGATTGCCAGTACGGAAATCCCCCAGTTTCCCTCCACAAAGACAATTGGAATGCTATCAGTGATACACACATCCAATGTATTACTACATGTACGTGTACATGTTTGTATGGTTCTGCCAATTTCACTGCTCTTAGACTTAGAGCAGAATCTGCCACCTTTTCCAGCATTATCCGCCAATGCCCCCCCCCCCCCTACCTACATGTACATGTAGTGATCTACATGTACATGTACAGTATGGCTGCCACTCCACCACCACCCATCACGAGTATAATACATGTACTATCATTATAGCAATCGGAAGAATCAGCATAAAAATGTACAGGTGCCTGTACAGCTCCCATCATGTGCAATTGATGCAAGTACATTGTATCTTACTAGGCGACTTGCAGTATGCTCTTGCCAGTCCGGGTATGCGCATGTACATGTACATGTACATGTACTCCGGGAATTACTCACATCAGTTTGGAAGTAAGTTTGTAACTGCATGATTGTACTGTACACTAATACATGTACATGTACATGTATATTCAAGCGGTAGTTTGGAGGTGATCAAAAATTAGTTTCACAATCTACAACGTATCGTGCAATGACGCAAGTCCACACAATGAAGCAGACACTTTCTTTTTATCTATCAAATGTTTCTTTCCCTTCTCTTCAGGTTAGTACAGAGAATGTTGGAAATTTGGAAAGACACAGAACTATATAGAGTGTAAGAGAAAGAAGGAAAAGAGACAGCCATTCAACAAAGTCCTACAAACTCAAAAACAGACGTTGTAAGTTGTAGACAAACACGTTGAACTGTAATATTGGCACATACATACATGAGTTCAAAAAGAACGAAACAGCATGCTATCCGCAGATTGAGTACATACATGTACATGTATGTATAATACTACTATAGGGTTTTACGCTGAAATACATGTACAGTTTATACACTGAATGTACAGTGCGTAACTCCAAGAGTATCACGTCAATGCTAGAACATGATCAGGGGATAGAAAATTGCAACCAATAATTTACTTCACTTGCGCACAACCAATGCTTCCCTGGATGTGTATTCACTTCCAGGTTTACATTACCAATTTACCAGTAAGTGGTGCCAATTCCCATTCTAGCTTCATGTAAGTGCGACGTGTGTGTGTCTAGCTGTCGCTTATTGTTCCAGCTTCTAATGCTCAAGCACCATCATTTCAACAGTCCGTCCGCCATGATCCCATGCGCACCAGTGCCGGAGCTGGTGTTTTTCTCCCGGCTTCATGTCAATAGCTCCAGCTAATCAGGAGCACTTCGTTGTGGACCGACAACTTTCAATAGGATTAGTGCTGTTTGTGTTGTCAGCCATGAGCAACGGTGCTGGCTACACAGTACTACCATGACACTCACTTGGCACTTGATTTTGTTTATTGTTTTTTGAAAGTGCCCACGTAGCTACTACTTGTTAGTTGTCGATTGCTGGTTGGATCAGTTGCATGCATGGTATGGCTGGGGTGTTGGGGTTTGATTCTCCCTTGCTAATTGGATGTCAATCTTCTTCCCTGTACTAGCTGTAGTCCGTGGACAGTGGAACGCACAGCGCGTCATCAGCCATCACACAGCCCTCCACGGTGCCTCCAGTGCTATTTCGGTCTGCACTGCAAGAGCGGGCCTTTCAATGTTGTTCCAATTGATTTTACACGTGCCAATATCATTTTTGTGACGGAGGGGCGATCTGGCGAGAACCCTGCACC